CAGGGTAAGATGACGGAAGAGAGAGCCCGGAAAAGCAAGGTAAATACAGACCTTCCAGCTGTGATGGTTCAGAAGGAAGAGTGAGGAGGGTGACAGAACTTGTGCACAGGGGTGATTAAGACAAAAAGTTGTGCTTTGCCAGTAGTTCCCAGGACAATCCTCTTCCTGGGCCCTAAATCCTCACCAAATCATACTTTATCACCAGACTCTCTATCATCACAACAGTAAAGACACTAGAGCATAGCTAAATGCTAGGATGCATGAGAGCCTGATTTCAATTCTTAGCACAAAAAGGAAAAGAGATAGACATAGAGGATAGGAAAGGGGAAAGGAGAGGAGAGGGGAGGGGAGGAGAGGTGAGGGGAGAAGGGGGAGAGAGGAGGGAAGGAGAGGGAGAAGGGGAGAAGGGGAAGAGAGGAGGGGAGGAGAGGGGGAGGGGAGAAGGGGAAGAGAGGAGGGGAGGAGGGGGGGAGGGGAGAAGGGGAAGAGAGGAGGGGAGGAGGGGGGAGGGCAGAAGGGGAAGAGAGGAGGGGAGGAGAGGGGAGGGGACGGGAGGAGGGGACGGGAGGAGGGGAGGGGAGGAGGGGACAGAGGAGGGGAGGGGAGGAGGGCAGGAGAGGGGAGGGGACGGGAGGAGTAAATACGTTTCTAGCATTTGTCAGATTGAGGCAGGAGGATCAATATGAGTTTGAGGCCAGCACGATCTATAAAGTGACTCCTGTCTAAAATAGAGGAGGAGTAAATATAAATACATAGGTCTAGGTGTAAACTAGATGGAACAAGAGTTTTTTGGTTTTTTTGTTTGTTTGTTTGTTTGTTTAATTCTGGCACGTACGGCATGATTGAATGAGACCTGAGTCAATGATGTCAACAGTACATGCTAAAAAGATGAATATACTTTGTTTGTTTGTTTGTTTGTTTGTTTGTTTGTTTTTACAGATCTTTCCCCTCATCTCAGAATATGGTCCAGGATAACCCAATTTTTGAGCACCTGGCTGCTTCCCTGTGATAAGTCAGGTTCCTGACCCCAGCTTGTTCTAGAAGATGTAAAACCCAATGCAGAAGGCTCAGGCTATGGTCTCTACCTTTTTAGGAGAGGCTCTCAACAGAGGATGAGGGGCTAAACTAACTCATGAGTTACATGGAGCTGAAAGATGTGTGTGAGGTTATGGAAAGGCTTGCATTTAAAAAGACAACTTCTGAGTAATTGAATAAGCAGTAACATAACACATGTATATTCTTATGACTCAGCAACTTCACTTGGAGTACAATGAGCCAGTATGTGTGACACACATATGAGCAAACTCAAAGGATGGGCCTATATAGATGCTCATGAAAGTGCTGTTGTGATAGCCTAAAGATCTGAGAAACCTGGGCGTGCACACAGTATGACAACAACTGACCCAGCCTAACATGAAGTAGGTAGAGAGGTGTACATCTCCTTCTCCTAACAAGGTGAGAGCACCAAGACATCAACGAAGGAAGTATCAACTGCATGGTGATACGATGAAACACTTGCTCTCTAAACTCTTCTGCGGGGATGGAGGACTGTCAAGACACACAATATTGATGGGTCACATCTCTGGGTTGGAAAGGCAACTGGAATTGGAAGTAATACTAAAGACCTCAGCTCTATCCTCTACCACCTTTATGTTAGTAAGGTGAATAAAGTTAAGACAATTGTCTTGCCCTTCAAATTTTATTTGGGAATTTTAAATTCCTTGGTTCTAAAATGTCTATTATTATCTCTTTACTTCTAAGATTTTATACTACAGAAAAGTTTCCTCTAAAATGATTGATTAGAAAAAAAAATGTCAAAAAGGTGCTGGTTTAGACCAGAAGTTAAAGGTTGAATAACAATGATAGTACATAATTGATTAATAGGTAAATGACCGATAGATAATAGATACATGATAGACAAATAGTTTTATAGATAGTAGATGATAGATAAGTAGGTAGATAGATAGATAGATAGATAGATAGATAGATAGATAGACAGACAGAAGATAGATTGGCCAAAGCGTACTCTAATCTCCTGACCAGAGACCTACAATCTCCATGAAAGACACCATCTTTACAAAGGATTGCCAAGACAACTCAGTTATTATAGTCATAGGACATCTGCAGCTCAAATGGTGTGGAGATGTGTGTGTGTGTGTGTGTGTGTGTGTGTGTGTGTGTGTGTGTGTGTGTCTGTGCCTGCATGCCACTGAGTTGCCAAGGCTGGGAGATCCTTGAATATGTCAGTTTCCAGGAGTATGAGACATTATCAGTCTGCAGGAGACCCAAGGATGGGTCACTTAAAACTAGAGCAAAATCATCTCAATTGAAATTATTCACAGAATTATTTTTCATGACTCCAGAACCAGTAGCAGAAAATCATTTTCTAAATTAGAAATGGTGATGAACACCTTTAATCCCAGCACTTAGGAGGCAGGTGGATCTCTGTGAGTTTGAAGCCATTCTATTCTTCACAGAGAGTCATAGAACAGCCAGGATTAGGTAGAGACCCTGTCTCAGAAAGAAAGAGAGACAGAGGCAGAGACAGAGACAAAGGGAGGGAGGGCGAAGGGGAGGGAGGAGAGAGAGAGGGATGGAGGGAAGGAGGGAGGGAAGGAAGAAGGAAGGAAGGAAGGAAAGAAAGAAGGAAGGAAGGAAGGAAGGAAGGAAGGAAGGAAGGAAGGAAGGAAGGGAAATGTACTTTGTATCAGTTCCAGTTTTAGAGTAAAAGGTGGATCCATGGCAATTTTAATTGAGTTCAGCCAATAACGATTAACAGCAAAATCACCTTCTGCTCCCTGAGGACATCTTCACTGAAGAACATGATGGTGTTTGGGGTAAAGCATCATCAGGGGGATTCTAGCACAGGACATCAAGGAAAATACCAACCCACTATGTTGTCCAAAAGCAGAATTCATTCTTTAAGCAAGTCAGAGGAGCCTCCAGAACATGAACCCTAAATGATAGAAAGTTCTGCAAAGCACTGAGGTAGCCTTGCAGGAGGAGTGAGTTCCTGTGTGGGTTTTGGTTACTCTGGACTGTAGTTTTGACTCCCATTCAGAAGTTACCTTGTAAGTCAGGGTGGGTTGTTTTTTTTTTCCATGCATCTGAAAGCAATAGCTACCAAAATGGGTTTGCAAAAAATATTTCTCGGAGCCCAAAGCTGAGTCCAATTTGTGTGGCTGAGCATGTGAGAGTCACTCTGGGAAAGGGTGTTTAATGAATAACTTTGCAGTAAAAGGCCTTGAAAACTCCCTCAGAACACTAGATCCCGGCTCCCTGTCTAAAATACATTAACAGCCTCCAGAAGGTTTGGAGACGCTGCTAAGTGCGTCAGGCCAGCTTCAGAAGCCCTGACATTTCCATTCTGCCACAGGAAAAGGTTCCTCCTTGGTCTCCACCCATCCCCCCCCCCGACCGTCCAGGCTGTGTTTGGAGATGGAGGGGGCTAGCTGTTCTGCTGGAGAGAAAGATTGATAAAGCCAAGGCATCAGACTTGTTTCCTATGCATGAAATTGATTAAATGCTTCACTAAATGGCTTATAAATTTGCTTCTCATATTTCTATCACCCACTGAAAAGATTACAGAAACTCCGCATATGACCATGTTGTATACAATACCAAATTACAAAAGGTTGTAAAAACTAATGTTTTGTTTAAAGTTTTGAGCAGGACCATATGCCTTCAGTGACCTTGAGTAAGCTATTTTAATTCAAAACATTTCAAAGACTCTAAAGGGGAGAAATATTCAACAACATAACAAACCAGCCTAGCTGGGTAGACTTCGGCTCGGGCTGCTCAACTTCTTGGTTTTTGCTTAGGGTAGAGCAATACTCCCTGTCCAAATGCCTGGGCTTCGAAAGCTGGGACGCACATGTGGTGTCACCAGGGATATATTTACAAAGGAGATGAAACAAAGCCGTGGAGACCTCCCAAAAGCTGAGTCTGTTCTATTATTTTTAGTTCAGACGGGCGCATCCTAGGGCGTAGGCGTCCTGAACACACTTGTAGGACCACGTAGAGAAGATGACAAGTATTAGCAGGGGTGGGTGGGATTGTTTTATTTGGGGGTTTTGTTTTGGTTTTAATCTTTACACATCTTTCAAATGTCAATTATGTTCCCTTCTTTTTTCTTCCACGTGAGAATTCCTTCTAAGGATTATATAACGTTGGGGGCAGGGGGTTAGCCTAGAAGCAATTTACAGGCAAGCAGGTGACCCGCAGATGTTACTGGGGAAACTAACCTTTTGTAACATGGCCTGAAAAATACCTTCACTTCTACGGGAAAAATGATATTCTTTCATAACATTTATAGGACATCATGTCCTAAGCAAGAATTAACATTTGGCATTAATGCATGGTTCTTGCAGTAATTTCAAGACAAGAAGGTTTACAACCAGGGATGTGGGTAAAACCCCTACTGGTCTGGTGGTGGGGAGGGGGGTAAGTCCAGCTTCTACCACATTCAGAAACAGTCAGGACAAGGGCAAAAATGGCCGCCATAGCTAGGGCAGGTCAGAGCCCAGTGATGCGGGAATTGTCAGTAGAACAAACAGGGAGAAGCTTTTCAACACCAGGCCCCGCCTGCGCCAAGCCTGCTTCCCCTGCTGTATCTAGGCACTTCCAATGACCCTCAACCAGTCACCTCACTAGTAACACCCATTCGTTTCTTTCTTTTTTTTTTTAATCTGGCATCTGTGCATTGTACGTGGTACTACATTAAAGGATATTTTCAAGTATATAGTACTTTGAGTATATTCTCCCCATACCGTCCCCCTTCCTCTCCTCTTCCCATCAGTCCCCTTTATTGCCATAGACAATTTCAGTTCTCGTTCATATGATGTGTACTTGCACATGTTTCTGAGATGGAGAACAACACGCATGTAAGCATGTGCTTAGGGGGGTTGATTGTAGAACAACCTCAGATGTCATTGCTCAGGCTCCTTCCTAAGGAGTTTTTGTGTGTTTGTTGTTTGTATCTGAGACAGTATCTCACTTACCTGGAATTTGTCCGGTAGGCTAGGCTGGCTGGTCAGCAAGTCCAGGGATCTTTCTGTCTCCACCTTCCCAGGTCTGGGAGTACAAGCATGTGCCACCACACCCAGCTTTTTTTTTTTTATGTGACTTCTGGGGGTCGAACTCATGTCCTCCTGCAGTCAAAGCAAGCACATTACCAACTGAGCGGCTTCCTTAGGCCCCTCACTTTATTTTCATGTCATATATGCATATATGATTTTACGAATCTATATAAAATCTAGGATCCACAAATGGGAGAAAACACACTGCACTTTTTCTTTCTCTTTTTGTTTTCCTTTTTTTAAACAAGTACCTATTCTGGGAAATACGCCAACAATTCAAGGATGATTTAGGCAGACCATCAACAGCTGGACAGATTATTTCACTCTTTGGTGATGGTTACATGACCCTACTTGTTGGCATGGAGCCATCACTTTAGTAATCCTGATGTCATAAGCGGAGAGTTTAATGAATTATCACACTGGTGTTCCTTTCTGCACAACACATAGGCCAAGCTTCTGCCCACAGATATTTGCCATGGTGGGATTTGAACCCATGACACCGGAAAGTTGATCCTGGCATATTAATTTTACAGGCTCCTCCTTTTTTAAAGGGGTTTTGATGACCGAAACCAGTGGCTGCCACCTCCCCAGTAGAGGGCACATAGCGATGTGTTCGTGGCTTGGAAAAGCCTGATGCATGATAACAGTCTTATTTAACTCAATTTGCCCCAGAATCTTGTAAATTTTTGGAACAATGCTTGTGACCAAGGCAACTGTGCTTTGAAATGTCCTCTGCGGGACATTAATGCCTACAGCACATGAGATACACTAGTCCACCTCTTGTGAAAGTTTAGCACAGTCTAAGCTGCCTTTTCAGAAAAGTTCTTGATCAAAATAAAAAGAGTCAGTAAGTAGGTGATTGTCACCCTCTTCTCCTGAGGACAGGCTGACCTCGAGTCACAGTGCTCCCTCTCCTTACTAAGGCATTCTGTGTGTTCTGTAGCTCCTAAGAAAACAGCAGACCGCACTCACTCCACTACACAAAAGCCTGTGCCCTTCAAACACAGCACTGGGTGCCCAAATGAACATTAGAGAGACATCAAATAAATACTCCCTATCTGTTGATTTTTCTTACTACTTCCTTTTCATTAAGGTTATTAGTGAGGCCAGTGAAGTGGTTCGGCAGGTAAAGGCATTTGCCACCACGATTGACAGCATGAGTTCAATCCCTAGGACCCACAAGGCTGAAGAAGAGAGGTGACCCCCAAAGGCTATTCTCTGACCTCCACAAGCACACCACGACACACAGCATGCAAACCACACACACACACTCACACACACACTCACACACACACTCACACACACACTCACACACACACATAAACATACACACATGCACACACACACGCACACAAAACAGATGTTTTTTAAAAACGATTTACAAATCCATTCGCTTACTCTACTTCAAATAATTAACAAAAATCTATTCTTCCCTTTCTGCAATTGAGGTCATTCAAACATCAAGCTCACTGAGGAACACCTAGCTGCTGGGGACATAGCTAGGTTAGAATGCCTACCTCACAGGGAAGCTAGCTCATCCCTAGCCCACCATAAATTGCCTGTGGTAGTACACATCTGTAAGCCCCAATAGCTGAAAGGTGAAGGTAGAAGGGCCAGAAGATCAAGGTCATCATTAAGAATATAGCAGGGAGGTCAAGGTTCACTTGGGATATCTGAGCTCCCCTCTTAACAAACAAAAACTTCTAGCCATTAGTGAGTGTCATTGGTGCTTTTGAAGATAATCTTGGATCTACTCTAATTTTTTAAGTAAATCATTTGCAAATTTCAACATACTAATTAGTACAAGCAACAAACTGCCCATCTTTTGGGGGACCTCAGAGATGACTGATGATGACTGGGCTGTGTATATATAGGATGCAGACACGTATTCTACAACCTTGGATCTCGAGATATCAAGTATACTGAAATGTCCTTAGAGAAGGGTCTGAGAACCTGCATTTCTAATACGTTCTCAAGTGACACTCTCATTCTTGGTCAAGGGACAGCCCTGGGAAGATGAGCTGTAGAACAGTTCATTACTTGCCAGATCAGTATTATCATACCTAATCCTAGGACTGGGAGAAGAGCTCAGTTGATAAATGTCTTGCTTCAAACACGTAAGGACCTGAGTTTCGATGTCAAGCACCCCATAAAATCCTGTTGTGGCATTACACATCTATAAGTCTAGCACTTGGAGGCAGGAGCGGAAGGCAGGAGGAGGTGGAGCCCCAGAGAGTGCTAGCTAACCAGTCCAGCTGTAAAGATCGATCCATGATTCCAGATTCCATCAGAGCTCTGTCTCAGAAAACAAGGTGGGAAGACATAGAGAAAGACATGTAACATCAACCACTGGCTGCCACACACAAGCACAAGTGTATGCACAAATATATACACTACACTACACACACACACACACACACACACACACACACACACACACACACACACACTAAACAAAATAAACACCTAATCCAACCTCCAGAACCCACACACACCCAGATGGAATCTCTAAGAAGATCATGCAATCATGTGGCTTTTCAATCAACGCCTGGAATGACTCAGATCATCCAGGTCTGAACTCAAAGGCTTGGACCCCTGCCTGTCCCTGCACATAGGGACTCTGCCTTCTAGGGCCCCCTTCAAAGCATGGAGAGGCTGAAGACATGTGAGTGCCTCCTCCAATAACTTGTCTGGAAATTGGCATATTGATGGCTAGTGTCATCATGTTGCAGTATGCATAAACCCCTCGCTCTATTACACAGCCCTCAACAATCCAAAATGTCATTGTTTATTCATCGGGCCTTCCAAACTGGCCCTTGTCAGCTCCTGCTAGAGGGGCTGCTGATAAAGATCAGCAGATGATTGGACGCACACATTCTTAACATGACTGACCCATGACATCTGGAAGGGCAGCCCCAAAAGCCCGACGCTGAACAATACTTTCTTTTCTCCCCCTTATCTAGCCCAGATGATTTTGAGATTTTTTTTTTATTAACTCATCAATGACTGAAGATGTCATTAGAATCAATGGGAAGTTTTTCTTTCCTTTTCTCTGGGAGAATAAATGTACCATTTGCTGGGAAATCATGAATCAGCTCAATAATGAAATGGTTAAGACAAACCAAGTGGAAAGACTTATTAACATCTGAGATCTCACTAATGATTGCTGGGATTGAAAATCTACAGACAGAAATAGCAACTTGCTTCAGAAATATGTTGGGGAAGAATGCGGCAATTTGATCAAGGAAATAACTGCCCATAAAATTCAGCATGCGATTCTCTCCAGTTGTGGGCCCAATCGTATCAAACTAACAGCTAAATAAAAAGAGAATTCAGCACAAGGCTCCCAAAACCTTTAAATGCTTCTTAACCTACACTGTCATTTAACCAGCTCTTGTTCCTGCATGCCTTTAATTTTCACATCTGCCGGATCACTTTTAAAAATCAAATGAGATCTTCGGAAGGCACTTAAATTGCAACAACCTTATGCTTTTTCATACACTCTTGAGCTTCAGCCTTTTCAATTTGGATTGTGTGGCCAATTAGTGGACTATCTCAAGGAAGCACTAATCATTTTGAGAAGTTGAGACTATAGAAAGCAGGCAGCCTATTTTCATTATAACTGATTGGCTTGAGAACAAGCAAGAGAGGAAATGTCCGATGATTCTGATGACTTTTTCACATGGGCTTGTTCCAGTGCACACTCACACACACAGAAAACTACGGACAGTTACGTACAATGCTGTTCACTGACTCAGAATCTTTAAAGTTCAATTTGAGTTGATTCCTCTTCCGGGTTCAGCTTCGGGCATGTCAGAAGGCAGCTCAGAGAGTGGGGTTTACACTGATTTTATCAGCTCAGATCATTCATCTGGCAACAGAGACATCTATTACTAGATGTGTTTCATATGTTACTAAAGTGTTTACTAAATTTCACTTTTGTCAAAACATATTGTGGGTTCATGGAACCTCATAATACACAGAGAAGCAGTCCCTGGAACTTCAAAGATTTTTGCCCATAGAAACTGAAGTCAGTAAGCTATGATCAAGATTTAAATTCGTTTTAAGTCAAATTTTATTCTTTGTTATTATTATTATTTTAAGACAAGGTCTCAATGTGTAGCTCTGGCTGTCCCAGAACTCACTCTGTATAACAGGCTGGCTTTGAACTCACAGAGATCTGCCTGCCTCTGCCCCTTGAATGCGGGGATTAAAGGCGTGTGCCACCACACCTGACCAAATTTTAATCTTAAATTGAGTGACTACAAATTTCTGTACTTATTTGCCTGGGAGAGGATTTTATTCATTGCATGATATGTTAAGTAGAATAAGTAGTATTAGGAGATTAATTGAATTTGATAATTTCATCACTAAATTCACTAATACTGACAGTAAGTCTGCTCTTTCATCTTTCAGTTCACAGTACTGCACATGCAGAGTGGGGAAAAAAGAGTTAAAATCCAGATGTGTGTCAAATTCAGATGTAAAATGTCAAGTAAACAAAACCGCAAGGTTGTTTTAAACTATTTTTTTCTTTTTTATCCAGACTTTTTTGGTGTCAGTTAGGCATAGTCTTAATCTGTTCTGTCACAACCAATTTTTTTAAATTATCATTTGTTAATATTTGAATTGCTTCTCCACAAAATTATCTTCAAAAATTTTCTAAAATTAACTCTTGGAGAAAATCCAAGGCTAATTTTTTTCAATCTTTGTCATGGGTGTGTATGCTCATGTGTGTAAATGTGGTTATGTGTGTGCCATGACATGTGTATAGAAGTCAGAGAACCACCTCACTGAAAATAGAGTCTCTTGTTCATCTCCCTGGGTGCCAAGCTGGCTGACCTTTGAGCTTCTGTGGATGCCATATCTCAAGTCTCCTGTCTCACAGCAGAAGCACTGTAATTACAGACATACAGTACCATGTCTAGCTTTGGGGATCCAAATTCAAGTTCTCACCCTTACGTGGCAAGCATTTTATCCACTAAGCCACCAGCCAATGGGACAAGGCCATCTTCTTTAGAAACAAAAATGCAATATCCAGTAGACTTACAGCATAAAGGAACCAACCAGAAGGTACCATCTTTATCTTGAAAACATTGCATATCTGTATTTTATGTACTTTATTGTGTGTATGTGCATGAGCACTTTACCTGCCTGTAGGTGTGTGTACTGCATGCATGCCTAGTGCCCCCGGAGGTCAGAAGAGGGCGTCAGATCCCCCGGAAATGGAGCTGGAGATGGTTGTGAATGACCACATGGTGCTGAGAAACAAACAGGTCCTCTGCAAGAACAGAAAACACTCTTAACTGCTGAGCCAGCTCTCCAACCCCTATATCTGCCTTTTAAAAAGATAGTTGTTTACATGATTGGAATGGTAACTTAATTTTAATTGAGATTCCTGAGCCAATTTGTACTCTAATAAGTAGCTTTGGGGAACCAAAAGGATCTCAAATGTCAATGATGGCCATCTTTTCAATGGGTTCCTTTCCCAACTTACTAATTATTAGATGCCAACATACATTCCCTTGGCCCTTCATATCTCTGCATTCTGTATCTGCAGATTCTTCAAACTATGGATAGAAAAGTACCTGGGGAAAAAAAATGTGTCTGTATTGAATGTGTAATGAATGTTTCTTCTTGTCATTTGTCCCTAAACAATGGAGTATAACAACGACTTATCTAGTATTCACATTGTAGTGAATATGATAAGTAATTGTATACTGTACACAGAAGGTGCTGTTCACTTATATACAAACACCAGACTTTTATACAAAAAACAGGAATTCACAGATTTTTTATGTCTGGGAGGGGTGGTGAAGTGGCAGGAAGCAGCCCCTGTAGGTACAGATCATGAAGGACAGCTGCTCTTGACACATAAAGAATGATTTCCGCTCTGTAACTTTGGGTACGATAAAGTACCCACCCGAGAATCTACAGATTTGGTGATGGACCCAGCATTTCTATTTCCTGTGTGACCTTGACTCATTCGCTTGACTTCTAAGTCTGGATGTTTCTCATCTCTGAAATGGAGCTGCAGTTGCCTAACATGCCTGAAACATCAGGTTTCATTCTCAGCACCCCACCCCAAATGAGAAGGTAATAGTAAGCCTGCTTCAAGCTGACTCAAGAATCTTATGAGGGAACTTTAAATGGCCAAGGTACTTTATCGATATAAAATGACCATTGATAAAATGGCTTATTGTCTGTCTTGCATAATTGCATAAAGACGATCATCGCATAAAGGGTTATTTGCTAATACTACAGAACTAAGGCAGCCCAGGAGAGGAAGTCACACTGAAAAGACCTGCACAAGTGTTTAGCACGCATAAATTGGATACAACCATGACTACAAGCACTGGCTGGGCAGAACAGAGCCAGACGGGAGCTCACCTGAGTCTCTCCATGCTTGCTGACCCCAAGAGCTAATTCTTGCACCTCTCTCTTCTGTGGAGACTGAGTAGGCTAATCATAACGCCCACTGTGTCTCTGATTACACCAGGGCATTCTGCCAGCCTGGGACCGTGTTCTCGGCCAGCCAGTGGCCTTAAATATGACGGCCTCACATGCTCTCCTCCCTCGCAGCCTTCCTCCTTAGGCAAAAACTCAAGCCACTGTATGCAGCTGTTGTGTGGCTGCAGGGCAGCCCAACCAACCTCTTGGTGTTTGCCCTGGGAGACTGCATTTGTGTTTTGATTTTGCTATTAATAAGTTGTCATCAATGACCAAGCTTTTGGCCAGTCTTTCTCTCCACTATAAAAAAAAAAAGTCTCTGTGTGTGAGAACTAAGTCTAGACACTTGCAAAAGGCTGAGAGCTCTAGACTCGGTCATACATTTTAACCTCAAACTTTGATGTCATAGCTTATAGCTTCAAAATTCTCGGAAAAGTCATCAAAACTCTCCAGTCGTACCTTTCAGACACGAAAAGTCTGTGAGCTGCAGAAAAAGAAATAAATAAAGGTAATGCGGCCTAGTACATTTTAAATTTTAAAAGTCTGTTGTGTGAAACTGTTGCAGTAAACAAAAAAAGTTTTAGGGTTTCGTTTTGTTTTGCTTTGTTTTTACAGAAAAAGCTCACACGTTGGGAAACGCCTCTCCAAGTTTAGCCCAACTTTTTTTTTTCTCTACGCGACAACTGTAATGGAGACGATATAATCAAGTTTTAGCTCTCCAACTTCGAAGTCACAAATCTCTCATTAGGATGTTACTATATTTGAACACTTGCTTCAAAGCACCAGGAATCAATACAAAAGGAAACAATAATAGTAAGGGAAGATTTCTAGCGCCATAATAGGGAAAGGTGTGTGAGCTGGAGAAAGAACTGTACAGGAGCCCATGACAAGTCATGATAAATGGGTCCTTATAAAATTCATGTTTAGGCAGCACCAGGCCGGGGATAATGCCATTCGTCATGGCAACACTAGGCCGCTAATGAGCCCTCATTGCATATTCATGGACGTGGCAGTTCCCCCCCCCTCCCTCCCTGAACTAGTGCCGGGAAATATCCCTACCTCAAGCAGAAGCTGAGCTTCGGCCTTCTTCTTCTTCTTTTCTTTCTTTGGCTTTTTTTTTTTATTTGTTATGTTGCAGCAATTACACAGTGAAAGTGCTGCCCAAGATTGATTGCTCTGATCTGTAGTTCAATTGTAAATTAGAATACACATCCCCCCAGGGACACACGGCCCCTATTTGTGATTAAGAAAAAAGCTCCATAATAGACTAATAGCCAAAGTTCTCTCTCTTTTACTTTCAGGCAATTAGCTTGATGAAATGGCCTCTTTTTGTATACCCTGGAAGTGTAAACCGATATCATAATGAAGTATATGATGTTTATTCTATTATTTTCACCTTGCCGGGTATGCAAGAATGCATAAGTAATGGCTGCTTTGTCTAGTACATTTACTGATTCACAAGTAAACTATTTCTTAAAGATACAGTGTGTGCTTTCCGAGCCTGAGTTAAGCAACCCCTGTGGGTTAACCTCCATGCAAAGGACTTGCTCTAGTTTCATTTCTGTCGCATTCATAAATACATCGACAAAAAGGAACTTAAAGGTGGAAAGGGTCATCGGGGCTTACAATTCCAGGTTGCAGTCCGTCACTGAGAGGATGTCAAGGCAAGCATGCAAAGCCGCTAGTCAGTCACATAACATCTACCTTCAAGAGTAAAGTAAAGGCACCCATGCTGCCTGCTGGCTTGTTGGCTGGCATCTAGCTTTTTCCTGTCCTGTGTCGTTCAGGACCCTTCCACCTAGGGAATGGTGCCACCCACAATGGAGCAAGTCTTCTTATGTTAATTAACAATCAAGATAGTTCCTCAAAGACATGCCCACAGGCTAATTTAATTTAGATAATTCCTCAACTCAACTTAGCTCTCCATTCAGGTGACTCCAAATTGTGGCAAGTTGACTTTTAAAAGTAACCAACCGTCCATCGTACCATTCAAATAAACTCCCCAGGTGGTGTGGAGGGCAGGATTCTGACGTGGACAAGGCACCCAGTCACTAGGGGTACTATGAGTGAATGCAGACCGGAACAGACCTGCCAGCACTCAGATTAATGAAGGCGCCAGGCATCAAGGAGTGACTGTCAAGCAAGACACCAGTGCACAGTGTTGTGACCTTCATCTCCCCACTTAGCCGTGGGACACCTCCTTAGTCCCTAATCTTAGATAGGCAGAACACTTCCCATACAATAGTTGGGTTTTTTGGTTTTGTTTTGTTTTTGTGGGTTATACCTCCCGGCCTCAAAAGAAGTCTTGTCTCTTTCAAAATCCAAAACTATTCTGCGAGCTTCTCATAGCAAGAAGGTGTTGTTCCATTTCCTACATGCAGCAGCAGGTAGACTTTTCAAGGAGATAGCCAACCCACCAGTCCCTTAGAGGAAAGCATGCCCAAGACTGTTTGGAGTCTTCTCTGTATGCAATCTTTCCTGTTTCTTTTTTACTTTTGAGGAGATTAGAGAGATTAAAGAGGAAAAAAGAACAGCCCTTTGCTGTGTGCGATGCCACACACCTTTGGTCCTAGCGCCGTGGCTTCCGAAGCAGGTAGATTTCTATGAGTTCAAGGCCAGCCTGGTCGGCATAGCCACTTCCATTCCAGGGGTAATGTCTAAAAACATGATAATTAAATAAATAAATATATACATATACATATATGTTTTCAGAGATGTGCTGGACCTTCCTGCTTCAGTGGCCCTCCCAAGTTCAGGGCTACCAACGTGCCAGATAGCCATGCATAGAGCATCCAAAGAGCAAGATAGCAAAAAGGAGGGAAAAAATATGAATAAATGGAGAAAAGATTGTGCTGGAAGGTGGTGGTGCACGTTCCTTTAATCCCAGCCCTTGGGAGGCGGAGGCAGGCAGTTCTCTGTGAGTTCGAGGCCAGCCTAGTCTACAGCGGGAGTTCCAGGACAGCCAGGGCTACACAGAGAAGCTCTGTCTCAAAAAAAAATCTGTCTAGGTTTCAGTAATTTAGATTTATGGTGAGTCTGTATTTCAAACATAGATTTCACTTCCCTGTCAGTCAGCAGTGACCCAGTTTAGGTTACTTACTGGCCTGATGTTATATAGGGAAAATAAAATCTAATCCTTGTCTTCACCATATGAAACTTATTTGAACTTCTAGGAAATTATTTTCACAGCAAAATGACCTCAATAATTTTAATGCTGAAATTGATGCACATTATTAAATTTGCTATCTTCTGAGAGCAAATGTTTGGGTTTTATTTTTACTTTTTATACGCATTTTTCAGACAGTGTCTGACTATATAAAGAGCCTGGCTACGTACAGAGCCTAGATGTTCAGGTACATCCTATTTAGCTCAGGCTAGCCTCGGGTTTACTGTAGTCTTCCTAAACCAGCCTAGTTTTTTTTTTTTTTTTTTTTTAGACAGAGTGTTACTATGCAACTTCTGATCTCCCTGCTTCAGCATCCTGTGTAGCTGGGATTGTAGGTCTGCATTAGCAAGCCTGACTAATAATTGTGTTATTACTCCAAAGGTAAGAGTAGCGAAATGAACTGCATGCAGAAAGGGGATGTGACTTGCCCAAACCCACACACTAGTTAACAGAAATGCAAGCCTTGTTCTCAGGGTATCGAGTCCCAAATCTTAGCACTCACTGGTGTGCTCTGCTGCCTCCTCCATAACTAGCTCCTCCTCAGCTGCAGGACTATACAGCTCTCAATGCTTAATAAACCCAGTGATCCTAATTTATATGTGGCCAAGATTAACAAATGAGATAAAGATGTACCTAGTGTACATGCAAACACAAACGCAAACACTCACATGCACACACAGATATGTCAATAAAAACTAAGAAGTCACAAATCACACTGCACTATTACCTACCTACTTATATTTCAGGTGGATAATCTATGGTACATTCTAAACAGACGTTTAGAAGGGTTGTACCTCAGCCACAGAACTGAAGCCTTTATACAGACAATTTGTATTTGAGACTCATGGGAATGATCACTCCTCACAGTTCAAGAACTGGATGTCCCAAGTGATGTGAATCTATATGGGCAGAAACCTGACGGAGTCTTGTCACCAAACATCTCTGCCAGACTTGGCATATGTTTCCTTAGCCTCACCCTATGTCCCATACTCCCCTCTAAGTGACTCAATCCTGGTCACCAATGAAGTCAGCTCAAAGATCACTTGTTTTCAGAGCTGTCTCCTTATCCTTGTCCCAAAGACCTCTTTGATTTTAATCTCCATATATAAGCCTCCTTCATTTCAGCAATGGCCTTTCCCTTTGTGAAGTCGTGAAGACATGATTTAGATCTGAAATCCGAAATACATATATGTTTTCAGAGATATGCTGGACCTTCCTGCTTCAGTGGCCCTCCCGTGTTCAGGGCTGCCAACGTGCCAGATAACCATGCATAGAGCTCTTAGCAAAGCATAGGGTTGCCCTAGCAAATGAATGGTCACAGCTTCAACCAGAGTTGGACACTCAGTAAATGGTTAGTTTCATTTTGAAAGGGTCTTGAGATGATAATGGTACTAAATACTACGTCCAAAGCAGAAGCCACTGGAGTAAACAAAATCAACACTACCATGATTCCCTAAGAGAAACTACAGCTGCCTGAACAAGCAAAAAAAAAAAACTCAGAGATGATCATGAAATGAACGGGCCCAGGAAAGTATATAAATACTTCCTGACCCAGGCAGTGGCGCACACCTTTAATCCCAGCACTTGGAAGGCAGAGGCAGGGGGATCTCTGTGAGTTCGAGGCCAACCTGGTCTACAAAGCAAGTTCCAGAGCAGTCAGGGCTACACAAAGCGAAAATTTGTCTCAAAAAACAAAACACTTTCTGAGCTCATCTGGAACCCTACTGCCTCTTACCGTAATAATAAGGCTTGCTTCTTTAGATTTTCATTCATGCATTTAATGGTGTGTTGTAGGTTATCTACCGTGATGGTGACTGTTGCTTGCCTACTTGATTACATATGGAATAAACTAAAAACCCACGTGGCTGGGTACCCCTAGGAGAGACTTTTCCTGATTGAATCATTTAAGGTGGGAGGACCCACCATAAATCTGAATATTTTGAGGTGTGAAGATCTACCGTAAGTCTGGGCCACACTTTCCAATGACAGCCTATGTAAAGGATGTGGAAGAAGAAAGCTCTTTCTCTCTTTGCCTGCTTGCCTTTACTCTTGCTGAAAAGTTCATTCCTTCACTGGCATTAGAGCATACTTCTTCAGGATTCCAGCATATACTGAAGACCACCTGAGACATCCAAGTCTTGTGGAATGTACAACTCCTGGATTCTTGGATTTTCTAATAGTAGACACCATTGTTTGACTAGCTGGACCACAGCCCATAAACCATCCAAATAAATCCCCGTCATATGTATGTTCTATCAGTTCCATTTCTCTAGAGAACCCTGACTAATACATCGATCTTAACAAATAATCAAAAGGTGGACATCATACCCCACTCCATGGAACTTTCAGTTGAGTGGTGGATACAACCATTCTATATTCAGACCAGTGAGTGTGAAATAGCTCGCGATAATTTGTGTGTGAGATATAATAAGAATATAGTGGGACTCACGGTGGAAAGTTAATTTAAATAAGTGCTTCCATTCAGAAAACTATGAAAGAGAAGTCTGAAGAGCAGGATGAGAGATGGAGGGGTTCTGAAGGGAAAAGCATTTCTGAGAACAGAATGTGGGAAGGTCCAGGGGTAGGTAACAGCCTGGAAGATTAAAGGAGTGTTATAGCAGGTCAGCATGACTAGACCTCCAGGACCTGGGAGTAGAGAGGACTATGAGGAGGCTGAGGCAAAGATTACTATAAAGCAGTCCTGTCTCCTGCCATGGCCTGTGTGAGCCCAGGGCCAGGCCTGTCAGCACAGCGCATGATATGAGGTAGGAAATCCACTTGAGTCACTTCTAGGGAACAACAACTACCCTTGTGACAGAAAGCCATCTGAGGAAATGCAGATGCTCACTTACGCTATAGACGGTCTTTGGGAATGGACTAGAACAGTGGTTCTCAACCTTCCTAATGCTGCCACCCTTTAATACAGTTTCTCATGTTGTGGTGACCCCCAACAATGAAATTATTTTTGTTGCTACTTCATAACTGTAATTTTGTTACAATTATGAATTTTAACGTAAAAATTTTTTTGGAAATAGAAGTTTGCCAAAGTCGCAACGCAAAGATTGAGAACCACTGGACTAGATGGAGCCTAAGATCTCCTAAGTACTCATTCTCAAGATCTTTACACATTCACCTTGAGTACATGTCATGCCCCCTCAGTCACTTTCCCGTAGCCTTTGATCTGACTAGGAGCTACCCACTCAGAACCATGGCTTGCTATTAGAGTGTGTGGTTGACATTTCTTGTTCGTGGTCTTGACCCTTGCATGTGGCAGTGAATCCACAGGGAAGAGGGAAGAGGAGAAGAAAGAAAGCATGCCTCATCTTACACTCACTGCTCTATCCTGAATGTCTGATGTGGTGCCAAGCTCTCATAGGTGCTTGAGGGCTTGATTTGTTCTTTATGCTCCGATATTTCACATCCTGTTTTAATTGTGGCTTCTTCCTATCCCTTCTTGTGAGTTCCTGGAGGGAAACATCCACATTTTCATCCTTGTATCTCCCATCTATCAAAAGGGTTGTTTCAGAGTTGGCCTTTGATATAAGTATGGTCAGTTTATTGAAGCAACAGCACATAAAAGATCTTCATTAGTGTGAAAAACTCTACCTCATTAGCCAACCACAAGATGTGTAAAACCACATCATTAGAAAGTCCTGCACACTGCCAGTGTCCACTGGTGAGAGATGCTCTTCATGGTGGCACACTGAGTCTAAGGAGCCGCATGCACAAGGCCCTGAAATCAATCCACACCATCACTATCAAAAAATAAAATGTGTGTGTGTGTGTGTGTGTGTGTGTGTGTGTGTGTGTATGTTCATATGTATGACACAAGTGTGCATGGGCCAAGGCACATGTGTGGAAGTCAGACAGCAATCATAGGTGTTGGTCCTTACCTCCCACGTTATTTAAGACAGTCTCTTTTTTTCACCTCTGAGTACACCAGGCTAGCTCACCCGTGAGCTTCCAAGAATTCTCCACCCCCACATCTCATCATCAGAGCACTAGGATTACAGATGAGATACTGTGACCAGATTTATCTGGTTCCAGAGATCTAACCTGGAACCCTCTATTGTGGGATATTTTGATCGCCACTCTGACACTCCTGAGACTGTCAATAAAGTTCACCTTTAATCAGAGGACAGAGCTAGCTATTAGCTGACTAAAATTAGCCATAGAGGTTTTGGAGGACCCAGGACATATAGAGAGGTACAGGAAGTAGTAGGGAGGGTCTTAGAAGGAGACTAAGCCCTTTTGGATCAAGGAATGAGAGAGAGAAGAGGTCACTGGGTCACTTCTCCACCACGTCTCTGATCAGGTTTTTAGCCCAATATCTGACTCTCTACATTTTATTGAAAGAATAATTAGATAAATGCTTCAGTCCTCACATTTCTTCATCAAGAATTTTACTGTGAGCCGTTTTGCCATCCTCAAGCAAGCAGTATTTAGACTTACATATTCATGTTCTAGTTTCTATGTGAGAAAGGCAATGACCAGGTTCTGGCCACCAATCTTTGTGTTCAGCCAAGTTGGAATTTAAGATGCGCTGATTCAGGTATATCCTTAAAATGATGCTTCTATTAACGAAGTGCCAACGGTCACAAGCTTCTTGTTGCCTGCTCTCCTAATCCAGGTCAACAATAAGTATGTCTGCTCCCTTCTGTAGATTGGGGACTTTGGAAGACAAGAAGCAATTATAAGGTATAGGGATCAGTTAACAAAAATTTTGTAGAAAAAAGACAAAAACAAAAAAATACTTTATAGTAAGTCAGACTGCCTTTAAATTTCTTTCTACCAAGTGTTGTCCTTTCAAAATGAATGTTAACTTTTAAAAATAGACCCTTTAAATAAACAAGATTGACGGTTGGGGCTGTAGCTCAGTGGTTGAGCACCTGCCTAGGATGTCTAAGGCCTTCGGTTTGTAGCTCAGGACAGCAGTAAGAATAATAAATTTAAAATAAAGTTGATGTTCATAGCCCAGCAGTTTTACTCAGGTTTTTAATCAATTATGCAAAAGCTTGCTGTTGGCTACTTGGATAGCTATCTGGGTCATCACTTTAAAATTGAGAACTCTAGTTTGGCAATTTTTTTTTTCTGTTGTCTGGAATATCTGAAAACCACCAACCAGAAATCTCTATGCGTGCAGATGGAGGAAACATTTCAGCATAGCTTAACCTACTTAAACGTGGACATTCAACAAGGATGCCCTTGGTGTAAAG